ATGAAATTTTCCAAATTTTTCGGAAAAGAATAAACAAGTAACAGGAAAGTGCGCCGGAGAGAGTATTTCATCCAATTAATAAAAAAAGAAAGATAAATAGAAAATCAAGAAATTGAAGAAATTTTGATTTAAAATGCAAAAAAAAGAAAAGAAAAAAGATATGCTACAGCGCGAAGCGCGAGCTTAAAAGCTATCGACTCAAAATAAAAATAAGTGCTACAATTATTCTATTAAGGAATTTTAATATCAAGAAAGGACTATGCAATGGCACAGAATTCATTGTTATTGATCTAAAATCTAATCTGATTCATGCTTTTACTACGCGCGAAGCGCGGGCGAAAAAGCTAGTATACATATAATAAAGGAGATTCCACGAAGGATGAGCAGCGGTGTCAGTAATTAGAAAATATGGTTTGTTTTAAAATAATCAGTAATGAGAAATGAACTTACCACTCCCCACCAAAGCGCATCGGCATAACTCGAGAAGTCCGTTTTGCCGTTGGGTCCAACTGCATCTTTTTCGGCGAGGTACACGAAATAGCTGCTGAAAATAAGGCCTAGGAACCCAATGTACAGCGTTGTAATCAACTCCTGTTAAATAAGAAGAATAAAAATATCTTACAACTAATAGCAAAATTTCATATGTATTTTATAAACATAGAAATTGTCACACAGTCCTATTACAGGGTGCGTGCACGCTCACAAAGATATATATTTGCTTAGAAATAATTGAAACCATTACTAAAGTCTACTTCTTGTACAACTGAAAATTTTTGTAACAATATACCTGACGATGTATGTAAACCACTGAACCCAGGAGCCGCCACGTGCCACCTTGACGATCGACATGAAGCATTCGCAGAATTTGCAGAAAACGAATGCCTCTGATAGCGGAAGTGGCAAATACCTGACCGTTGCTTCCTACCGACAAGACTACCATGGACGCTACTACGACAATTAAATCTGAAAAGAAATGAGACAAGTGTACGATCGATTACGAAGAAAGTATAATCGCGATAGATTCGGACGTAATAGACATTGATAAAACGGCGTCGTTTAAACGCACTTACATAAAATATTTATTCTAACATATACATATATTGAAATAAATATTTTTAGAGATGGTGATTAAGTATGTATAAGATATGGATTAAGTGTATAAAATCGGCTGCAACCGATAAACGCAAAGCGCGTAATCCGATTAGTGCCTCGTTCGACGTTACCATTTATCTGCAAAATTCGTCGACGATGTGCATTGTTGGCGATTAAAAACAGTTCTCTTTCCATCCGCGTGCTACGAAATTGCCGGAATAGGTGTAATCCCAGTCGCATTTCCGCGGCTGGCCTGTTAATGCTCCATTTTCTACGTCGCGGATTACAATTCTACTCTTATGAACGAAATGTAATGAAATACGGTACATTATACTCTCCATTATTTGAGATAACTGCTGAAGAAGAGGAATGTGTGAATTATCGAACGTAGACAGCAGGTACCGTTATTTACCACGCAGCATGCGATAAACACCGCGTAAAACTCGAAAATACAATTAATTAACGCAAATTACGGATACGCAAAACTTCGAGAGTATGAGCAAATTTATATAGTGAAGATTTTGTTACAATACGTTCCAAATCATTTGTGAGCAGAAATGCCTACATATATTGCACAATACATATAAAAATTTCGAAATAATCTGAGTAGCAATTATCTACTTTTCAGATAACATTCGAAAAAGATTAATTCGCTTGTTGAACTTCCAATTGCGTATCGTCAAGTAATTACAAAGTTTGCGAAATAGAGAATCTTCAATTAAGGAAGGAATTTAACCTGAACCTTTCTCGCGTGTACTTCATTTATGGAGCGCGTCCGACAGGACGATGGCTGCGATACAAAGCACCTGCAATCTTGATTTTAGCAAAATGGATTCGACATTAGGACTAGAGCTTAATATTACAAAGTTGGTCGGTAGCAGTGGTACACAAACGATCCTCCACAAGTGATCCGAAACAAAGAGATGATTGTCACGATCGATCAAACAATGCACGTGTCAGATGAATTTTAGCTGTGTTGCATTTTAGGCAGGTTACGACTCGCTGTTAGAAATACACGAACGGCAACTCACCTATGATACAAATCGGTTTCCGTATGAATCGCAGCCGTCCACAGCAGCCCATATACTTCGATCTGCAACCCGCGCTCCATAGTCGTACCAGATATTCGACTCCAAAGAATACCACGAGACATATTTCCTGAACAATAATGAAGTGTAGTTGATCTCTCAGTCTTTGTCTTGATACAAATTCAATGCATAGCACTCTAGTACAAGGTACAATAATCCCGATACAATAGTCTTGATATCATTTTTTGCAAAAAGATTAAAACTAAAGTTGCGAAATAAAATTCTTGCATCTCTGGGGTTTAATTTTCGAGAAAAATATTTTTTAAAGTTGAACAACAACACTTATAAGAATTAATGATATAATTTAAAGAAGTTATACGTGACTTTTATGAACTTTGTATCATATATCGTTAAAGTCGCCTTATCAACAACTACTAACATATATGTCAAGATAAAAAAGCCAACATTTTATTTAATAAAGTGGTATCAAATAATTTCAATATATAAAACATATAATGCACAGAGAGAGAGAGAGAGAGAGAGAGAGAGAGAGAGAGAGAGAATCTATTTATCTTTTTCTACTTATAAAGTAAAGTTACTTTATTCTATTGTTGTTATTTATGATAACATCTATACTTTATTTTAAACAATAGAATAAGGTTTATGTAATTTCGACCGGAAATGAGTGAACGCGATAGTATGGCTGACAATTTGACAGTTTAATTATCTAACGCCGATGGGAGGAAAATGCAGCAGAATAGTTCTGTAGATTAGTATGGACAAGAGCTAATCATCTCTAAAATGAATATATAACGCGGTAGCGTATGGATGAAAGTGGCTATTGTATCGATTGTACTAACGCCGTTGTATGAACGAGATACTCTAGAAAAAGGAGAACGTCGCTGTTAGAACCGCAACGAAGTGGGCGAGATCCTCGAGTACTACTTTATACTATATTCTTTTATGATACAGAACATTGACGAGCTTTTATTTTATGCACGCTGACTTTCTTCGCGTTCACGTAGCAAGAGATGAAAAAGAAATCTCAAGCGGAGATTCTTATAATATGAGACATTCGTGCACAACATTGTACCGACTTTGTACCGACGATAGACTGCACAAATTTGTCGCGTAAACTTTTACAGAGTTTATTAAAAAATTTTTTTTAATGGTACAATAGACGAGAGTGTGATGGTCAGACCACAGTGTGCCTGCACGCACTGTAACTCAACCACGACAAGGCTTGACAGTTCGTGGCAGGTGCACAGTTGTCCAACCGCTACAAGAAGAATTAATTTTATTTGTGTAGGTCATGAAAGAAGAGAAAAAGTTCTTCGTCGGAAACTGTTGAAAAGTCTATTCTCAGGCGAACCAACGAATCTAAAGTGTTCTTTTCGAAGACTAATTAAATGAAGTTTGCTTTAACTTTCTTACGAAACATTATAAAACCTTCGTTTATGAATTCTTAATCGTTGTCAGTGTTTAACATTTCACACTTTGCAATGAATGGCATTTTGTCAGATATACTTGATTCTTCTTTCGAAATTAAAAAAAGCATTAAGTTTGAATTTTACACTTAAATGAAGAAATTCCAAAAAATTCGTCAAAGAACCTATTTTGGTCAAAAAATTTGTACGTAAAAGATAAGTTTATCAAGTCTGTTAAATTTGCAGTTAGTTAACTTTGTGCACACCAAATGTACATATTTTCCTTTGCGCGTACAATCAATGCGGTTGTGATAGAATATCCTTCATCTAGTAGTTCTGCAGTACTTCTTTAAATAGTACTATTGACATTATTCGATCGAGAGATGCCTTTAATATCCTGTTCAGTTATGGGCTATACATTATTGCACAGGTTATATTAAAGAATATAAACTACTCACCATCCAAAACAGAGTTTCGTTTGCGAAGTTACTGTATTGGTCTATCGTTGACAAAACGCTAAATATGAGGCACACCAATACCACCATGAACCTGAAAACGGAACGGGACAAAAATACATTACAACATGTACGGTATATGGCAAGTATATTGATCCGATCAAAATTTAATTCTGTTATAAAACTTAGATAAACAATTAGTCAGATTGGTTTATTAAAAGCGTAGGATGTCATATATTAAAATTAGATTTATATTTAAGACGACTTTAGAATCTTGAACTAATTCTGTATTACGTGTCAAATATAGAAACCAAAGTTTTATTCTATCACGAAATTTTGATAGGATTTAATTGATTAAAAGCGCGGGTCCTTGTATATTACAATACAATCAGATTCATATAAATCTGAAAATGATTTTCAATTCTTCATTAATTTATCTACTTTTTCTACAGTAGGAAACAGATACAACAATTCTAGAGAGACAATATACAATATATTATGTTACCTAATATAAAATTTGTATTAATAAACCTTCATCAATGATAATCGAAATCAGTATTAAATCTCTTTCTGATAATTATAATACGAACGCTTAAACCACTGATATATACAGTAAATCTAACGTATTATAGCGCAATAAGTACTTAATGATGTAACATAAATTGCATTTAGTTTTAAGTGTGTATGATGTTTATATAATATGTACATATGTATATGTTATACATATATATTGACTATATATGACGTTTCAGTTTGTGCTTAAGCTAAAACTTTGTTTTAATTCCAATACTCGGAATTAAAACTAACGTCCTAATGGAATAATAAAAGTGCTAAGCTTACCTGTTTTTCCACTAGAACAAATTATTTGTTAAACCATTATGTCATCCAAGTCTAATCCAACTGATAAGTTACTTGATAAAACTACACAGGCGTGATACACTAGACATATACTCTACTGATTGCCGGCGATGCAAGGCGTAACTTTATACTTGAACTTGTAAGAGAACATTATCAGGATGTACATATAACCGACGTGTTGTCTATTGATCACGGTGGCGCATATTCTGTGACGATTGAATGTAAAAATATTCATAGAAAATATGTGAGCGATAATTTCCCTACTATTTCGTCTAATAAGTAAATTCGCTAGAAAGATTGTGGAAGCTACCAATGTTCCAGCAAAATACAGTGAAATTTATCGGAAATTTAATATTGCTATATACACATGCACAGAAAGAGAGAGAGAACTTTCGGACTTTCCGATATTGTTTTGACATAACATGTATGTACGTATATGTATATTATAACATAAATTCATTGTATACTAAATTTTGACCAGAGACATGATACTAAATCGATTATATTCGACAAAATCTCTTCAAGTAACAAGTTAATTTTTATTTGTTATTATGGTATTGCAAAAGAAATAAGGCACGATTACATTTAAATATGTCGTATTGTGTTCTAATGTAAAAAGTATCATTATTTCGACATGCTATTTAATGTGCACTAATGTTAGACGTTTTCTTAATTCTACTTTATATTTGGAAGTATTATTACTATGTGCATAATAAGAATACACTATATTGACGAAGTATGAATCTTTAATAGTGCAAAAAAACTTGAAAATTTTCAACAATTACATAAATCCCGTATATATATTAAAAGAACTTTCCATAAAATAAACATAAAAAGTCATTTCATCGGAGTATATATATATAGGTACATACAAATACATATTGGATACATATCAGTTTAATAAAAAGGTAAAACGTTAAAAAATAATTTCGATGAATAGTTTTGATGAGCAGTGAGTTCTATATTTTTACAAAGTTTCTGTGAACGTTAACTATAAATCTCTAGAAATCCATTTGATATATTTTGCTGTATATGCACGAACGTGCACTTATTGTGTACTTGTGTATGCTATCATGCGTATGTTTAATAATAAAGTATAATCTCCGTGCAACAAGATTGTGAATAGTATCGAATTTCAATTGCCAATACAGTTCCGTGAATATGTCGTGTGTGTGTGTGTGAGAGAAGAATTACGACATCTGTACATATATATGTGTTGAGATTCACTTGCACGCTAACTCTTAGTGCGCAGAATTCGCTTCTCATCTTTCGGTCAATTTTTCAAATCCTTGTTATGAATCTTCATCGATTGCTTATCGATGCAGTGCATCGCACAAACTAATGACTTAAAAAAAAAAAGGACATTATGAGACAGCAAAGCAAACCTGGCGTATGCGAAGGTATGAACGGTAATTGCTACGATCTAACGATCGATCGCAGCGGCGCTTTCGTTGTTTGTACAAGTAGTTTATTATTGAGAGTTACCTCGTTAAGCAACGAGACGAGTGCGCGGCATTAACGAAAGCGCGCGGCCTCCGTGTAGCTCTTTAAGGTGGCGTGTCGAGGGCCTATAATTCCGACGTATGTACAGCACTTCGTGGCTGCACGGGTCACCTTCATCGACCTACTATGATAATTGTCTAACATATTCCTCCTTTTTTCCCCGAGCATCGCTAGGAACTCATCCATCTTCCGCCGGGCGTCGGACAGACATCTCGCTACTCGCGGATAACACGCTTTTTGTTTGACCGTGGAAATGCCAAAGTCACGAGAATGTCCGTTGAATAAAACGCAAACTAACAATTCAATATATCGTCGAAATCTTGGAGAACTTGAATTTATTATATGCGACGAATCTTTTAGATTTCATCTGAGGATTTCTTAATTTTCCAAATGTCTCTTTGTTGTTTAAATTTTTTAGGAAGAAATCGAAGCATTTTTAACGCAAAATTAATTTAAAATAGATTTAATCATCTAAATGTTTTAGTTTTCCGATTATTCTACTTATACTCGTAAAACATTTAAGGCACAAAATTAAGAGCTGTTATTCATTCCAAACTTTGAAAAGCATGAAGGGAAGTAGAGAACTAATGAGCAGGCACTTTACAATACATAAAATTTCCATTAATTTCAAAAAAGTAGAACGAGAAAACAGAATCTCCCATAGACACGAAAAAGATGTTAAATATCGAAGACACAAATCTTTCAAAACTTATTCATATATCTGAGCTAAACTAAGCTAAAAATTAAAAATTTTGAACAAGACCTAGCACTGTTTGTAAGAGAATTTATAAGAGAACGAGAATATTTTTGAAGAAACAATTTCCAGATTAAAATCACTGAATTCCAAAAATTCCCCGAGAATACCGAGAATCCTCAGGTAGAAAGAAATTCTCTGAGAAGTTTACATTCTCAGATAGTGGACATCGTGCACTTGGTGGCGAGGAAGTATACGGAGAAATGATATCTTAGAAAACAAATATAAAAAAATGTATCGTAGAACATTCTGTTGAATTTAATTGAAAAACCGAGGCGATGAAATCCAATTATCAATATTAACACCTGTGCACGTCAATGGACGGCTCTCGGTGTGTTGCTTATGGCCAAACATGTATAAAATGAGTGTGTAGATCCATTGTGCATCCCCCTGCATATCAATTAACCTACATGCGATCGAGGGGAGATAGAACGTGCGTGTGTGGTTCCTACAGCAATAATGTCACGTTGTGTCACCTCATTTATTCATACTCATCACGGTTTAATTACAAATGGATCTCCGAGGGCCCGAAATAACATAAACTTCTCAATACTCCGATCGCGCAAACCACTCGATATACGCAAATAAGTATCCGCGCATTAATCATTCTCTCCGAAATTGAATTGAATTTACATGTTTTCGCGCGCCCCATCGTACCCCTAATAAGACAAATTAATTGACAAAGAGTATAATTATAATTAATTGATAAAGAGGACAAATAATACAATATTATTGCGCGTGATTGATGAATACAATTCCCCTGTCGTCCCCGGCAAATTGGAAAAGCGAAAAGATCAAAGATACCTCGCTGGAAATCAATTTCGTGCACGGTATTTGCGCAACTCTGTAATATTACGCCACGTCCCGTATTTTATATTATTGTCAATATATCGCATATCCAACGCTCCATTTACCGATCTGCGTGCATTTAACGTGCAAATCGGCCGTGATTCCCCGACCGGATTGATTTTACCCTCAGACTCGCGCTTTCTGATCACGCTTCAATTACTGAAAAATTTAGTAACGACTTTCCATGGCACGATATGTAATCTCCACGGGCATCATTAGATGCGCGATATCGATATATCAGCTCGCGCGCGCGCGCACATACATATGATTCTCATCTAAAAATAACAAGCCACGCGCAAATAGCTTGGATATGCATTGGGCCTAACAACACACGGCTATTTATGCCCGCTGGAAAGTAGGCCAGTCAAATTAGAAAATTACCTCCATTAAAAGGACAAATTTCTTTTATCACTTAACGCCATTACGCACACAGGATAACACATTTACATGATCGTTAATCAGCGTTTTGGAAAATGACGATTAATTTTCAGTATTCTCCGGAAAACAATTACTCAATTCTAAATTGCTACGATAAAGGATAAAAAAAATTAAAACTTTCAGATTTTAATGAAATTAGCAAAATTATTATATTTTAAACGCGATATGTAATTTTAATGACAGATTCTTTCATTTTTTTCTTAATTTAATTTCTGGAAATTCAATATTGTTTTATTACAGCGTAGCAGTGGAAGCAAACAAAAGAAAGGTTATAATAAAATTATATAATTACAATTATATAATATAATTATAATTGTAAATGCGTGATATTTGCTGTGTTCTCAGCTTCAACTCGATATGCAGTGAATGGACAGATTCCTCCGTAGAGTTGCTCTCGAGATTGAAGGACTCTTATCATTCTCGCTCTTATCCTCCGTCCCCGATCACATTAACATTGGATTAATAATAGTACGATAAAATAGATAATAACATGTACGATAGCGCCGATCAATAGGATTACTCGAGCAATTAAATATTTACAGGGACGTTTCGTGCAGCGCGACTTCATTAGTCGGCCGTCTAGCGATTGTATGAACGACGTAGCATTAAAGCCGCACGAAGACCACATTATTCACTACCAACATGCAACGATTGTACGTGGTTGACAAGTTTATGAGAATTTGCAAAATTTA